TGTGCAGCAAGAGCCTTCAATGCCAATGGAGATGCCGGCTTGGAGCTGTCCAGCCCCATTGTTGTGATCAGCAAGGATGAGGGTGAGCGAAGGACTGATGGGACAGATGCAAATGTATGCACGATATAGAGTTCATTGGTTTAATTGATTTTTAATTCTTTGCAGGTATGTGTCAGCCTCGGGTCTCAGGCACTGTTGGAGCTGAACCTTTCTCCGCTAAGATCCGGTACACTGGTCCAGATGACCCAGACTTCCCCAACCTCATTAAACTCACTGTCAACATGCCTCACATGGATGGTGAGCAATAAAATTTTGTTGCAACTGTTGATACATAGTCCCAACTGTTTCGTAATCTAGACAAATGCCCAGAAATTTAACAAGCTTTTCACTCTCAACAGGCATGCTGCCAGTGATCTCCACAAGAGCTCTGTCCAACTTTGAGCTCACCCTGAGCCCAGATGGCACACGTGTTGGCAACCATCGCTGCTCCAACTTGCTAGACTTCAATGAGATCCAAACTGGCCATGGCTTCATCACTGATGCAACAAAGAACCCTGAAATCATTGGCGAGACTTCACCCTACCAGTACAGCACGATCATGCGCTCAACCAACTCTCTGCGATTTTACAGGAACCTTAACTTAGAGGCTTGTCTCTGGGAGTTCACCAGCTACTACGACATGTCAGAGCTGCTGAATGACTGTGGAGGCTCCATAGGTACCGATGGACAGGTAGGACACCCATAAAGGCAAAAACTACAGCGAATATAACATTCTAAAGCCTGGTCAACCCATTATTATTATTATGCTCACTCTTTCCACCAATGTCAACTGTCTTGACAGTGAGAGTCGAAAATGCTATTGTAGCTTATTAGAGACAAGTTTATTGTGCAAGTTTATCTTTTAGAATAGAAAGCTTTACCCCCTGTTCAAAAACCCTTTTTTAAATTTAAATGATGAACAATCAATAAAATTGGGGGACTGAAATGGCCCAGTACAGAGAAAAAGAAAGAAGCTCAGTGAACAAAATTTGACTGATAGTGCTAAGTATGTTCTTGTTGTTGGTTTGCTCACCAGCAGCAGTAGTTTTCCAGCTAGCCCTGCATGTAGTCACCAAGCTTGTAGAACCACTTATATTGTGAAGATGTGCAGATTCATTTCACTGTGCCACTTTCTGGTGTGACCAGACTTTTAAACTTAAAGATACTTACTACATTATCATTGACAATGCTTTATTTATCTCTTATTCAGGTGCTGAACCTGGTCCAGTCCTACGTCACCCTGCGTGTTCCTCTGTATGTGTCCTACGTTTTCCACTCTCCAGTGGCTGTGGGAGGCTGGCAGCACTTTGACCTGCTGTCAGAGCTCAAACTCACCTTTGTGTATGATACAGCTATTCTGTGGCAGGATGGCATTGGCAGCCCACCTGAGGCTGAGCTACAGGGTATGTTCTCAGACCAGTGCTGCTTCCTGCTGCTCATTTGTAAAACACTGTAAAACTTTGACCTCTGTTCTCATAGGAGCCATGTACCCAACCAGTATGCGTATAAATGAGGAGGGACGTCTGGTGGTCAACTTCAAGACTGAAGCTCGCTACAGGGGACAGTTTGTTATGTCTCATCCAGGTAAGAGTGGCGCCCACGGACACACACACATCCACTAAATCCATCTAATGTGGTCATTCTATACAGCGACCTCCTATTGGATTACCCTGTGGCCCAAGTCCTCTCTTCATCTATTTCTGGAGTTCCACATTAGGGGTCCTTCCTGTGTAAAAGTGCCAGAGGTCATTTCAGCAAATGTCAAAATGACCCTGCAGCGTTTACAGTCAGAAGCAGAAGCAGTAACTGTTGCTGGTTCCAATGCAGCTTAAAAGATTTATGACTGTACACACGTTTGTTTTTCAGGAACCAGCTTGTCATCCATGGTGATGTGTGCTGACCACCCTGGGCTGACATTCACTCTTGCCCTGGTCAGGACTGAGCCGACTTACAACCAGCCCATGCAGCAGTGGAGTTTTGTCTCAGATTTTGCTGTGAGTCGATACGCAATCAAACCTTGCAAACTGTGGTGAAATGATCATAAACCTCTTAAACTTAACATTGTTTCTGTGGTTCTGTGTGACCTCTAGGTGCGAGACTACTCTGGGACCTACACAGTAAAGATGATCCCCTGCATTGCATCACCCAACGGGGAGTTCAGCATCCCTCCTGTGTGCCACCCAAGAGAGCCACTCACGTTTGACATGGACATTCGCTTCCAGCAGGTTAGACCTGATATCCTGAAAAAATCCCCTGGTATTATTTAGTTCTGGGGTCACAACTGTCAGGTCCAAAGCCAGAATACAGATGACACTGCAAAATGGCCATCTTAACAACAGACCTTTTTCAGAGAAGCCATTTTAACATTAAATAGTAGGGTAAACACAGGTGTTATGTATGATACTCTACCCTACTATTTGATATCAAATTCATGTCATTATGTCTCCCTAATGGTAGAAACATTTAGTACAAAATTATTTGTTAAGACGGATACTTTTTTTCCCATATCTGCCACAACACTAGAATCTTGTTCTGTGTATGGTAACCCTCACTATGTGCTCTAGGTAAGCGACCCAGTTGCAGCTGAGTTTAGCCTCAACACTCAAATGTTCCTGCTGTCCAAGAAGGAGTTGTGGTTGTCTGATGGCTCCATGGGCTTCGGAGAAGGGACTGACGCTGCTTTTTCAGATGGTACTACAACACTGCCACCCAGTGGATTTTAGCAAACATTACATTAACCCTCTGAGAATCTAATGCTGGAGTCCAACTTTCCATTTCATCTGTTCTTTGCTTTAGGATCCACTATTTATGGCCGTGTGATGGTGGACCCAGTCCAGAACTTGGGTGACTCCTTCTTCTGCAGCATTGAGAAAGTCTTCCTCTGCACTGGAGCAGATGGCTACGTTCCAAAGTACAACCCCACTAACAAGGAGTATGGCTGCCTGGCAGATGCCCTCTCTCTGCTTTACAGATTCAAGATCCTGGTAAGAAGCAGTGAATCCACAAGGACAATACTGTGACAACCTGTGGGTTGAGGTAACCAAAGTAGTCAAGATCATTTCTGATTTTTGTGTGTTTTTTTGCAGGACAAGGCCCAGCCAGAGACTCAAGCTTCAGCATTTGGTGATGTTGCTTTTAAGGCCACACTAGCTCAAGACACACCTGGAGCGCTGCCTTTGGTCAGACAACCAGGTTCAGACGGCTTCACACTCTCCTCATCTCCACTTTTCCAGGTCGGTAGGATTCTCAAAATACAGTATATTCATGTATTGCATAAACACAAACATAAGTAAGGAACGGTGTTTTTCTTCTGCAGGTGGCTGCCGGTCGAGAATGGTTCATCCACACTATTTACACAGTCCGCTCCCGAGAAAATGCCAACCGCAACATTGGCAAGCGCAGTGTGGAGTACCTGCATCACAGCATGTACTCTGTTGAGCAGCCAGAGACCTCCAACATGGCCACCCACCGCCACCGCCGGGCCGCCCCTGCTTTCTCAAACCCTGCTTTGACCCAAGACATAGGTGTCGACAACAACCGGGGCACCAACATCCAGCACATCGCTCTGGACCGAGCAGACCGCATGGTGGTCAGCCAGCGCCAGCCCTGGTCCCCTAACCGTGAGGCTCTCCTGGAGCGCCCCCTGCTGGAGAGTTCTGGTAGAGAGCCCGCTGACAGCTCCACCATACCCATGCTAGTGGGCCTCGCAGGTCTGATCCTCCTCGTCTGCCTCATCGCCACCATTGTTATTCTGCTGCTGCGGCGCAAGAAGAGGGAAAAGAAGACCCAGTTCCCTCCTTACACCACCTCATCGTCTTCTGCCTACAATGGCTACAGCCAAGGTCCGGGGAGCATGTGGAGCAGCTCAGACAACTCTGAGGTCTAGATGTGGACCCCACCCCCCCCTCAAAAACCTGACCCCTATTGAAAAGACTATGATAGTCTCCTCCACCATTGTGCCTTCAAAGCCCAACTCTTGTAGCACTGAACAGAGCCCAGTACAACCTGTGGACAGCGCACTATTTCAGTGCTTGGGGCCTATATGCAGAGAATGCACCAGAGTTTTCAAAGGCTTATTGATCTCTGGTCATGGTTAGTTCTTGCTGTTATGTAATGTAGGTTTCTGCTTTTTTTTTGGAGCCTATTTGGAATCATGGATGTACGTTAAAGCCCCTCACAATGCGAGTTGTAAAATATCCCGCTTTATCCAAGGTTTGCAAATGCATGAAAATCCCAATTTAGTAAACGCAATTATTTCACAAGTAAAAGGCAATCTTGTTTAAAGCAAATAATTTTCTATGTTCCTCCTTTAAAAAAAAAAATAGTTTACCAAGTTTTTTATTATTGTAATTCACTCTGTTCATTATTTTGTTTTGTGGAGAGTAGAGCAAAACGGACTGAATGTTAGTTCAAGCTGACCTTAATGAATGATAATGTGATGATTTTTTAGTATTGATATTTCACTGCTTGTTTTACAAAGCCTGCAGTATACCTGCCCATTACTGAGTAACAATACCAATATGGTGTCATTGAAAGGGATTGTAAATGTCAGTTTAGTCTTTTGAGAATTCAGAAATTTGCTTTCTTTCTTTTTTTGTTTTTACATTTTTTCCGGTCAATGTGGCTGAAATCAGATGCAAAACTATCTGTGTACATAACAATGTAGGACTATGAAAAAAATGTATTATTACACCCTGGAGAAACTTGAAAAATTAAGAACTATACGTCTTTCTTGTTTGTTGATCAAGTCCTGAAAAAAACAAAACAAGTGCAGCATAAAAGGTATAATTATTCTTCTACAGGTGACAGTATATTTTAATGTGCCAATTGTTAGTAAACGTTTATGGCTTATTAATTTTGTGTCAATTTCAAGTTTGGATGTATGTACACTTCAACTGCCAAATATAAATGTCCTTTTTTGAATCAGCGTCTTAATTACCAGAGTGCACACATTTTTTTTTAAAAAAAAGGTGAAAGTTTATTTGTGATGTTCAAAAAGACATTTTCTACTTCACATAGGAAGATAAAAGAACAAATGTTTTCTTAAAAATAACAAGGGAAGGGTACATTTTGTTTCAAGCAATGGAATGTGGTACAACCAACAGGCATAAATACATTTATCTCAACTTAGTACTAGTAAAAAAAAAAAGAAAAGAAAAAAAAAGAGGGACTAGCAAAGAAAAACTAAGCCAGCACAGCTGCAGTGTATAGGTAAGTGACAACAAGGCAGGCTTGTAAAGGAGCACCTCCTAAAACCTATTACCACGAGATCAGTCCATCAGAGGGTTTTACACAGTACATTATCACAGCCTGCAAAACAAACACAGACACTAGGACTAAAGATACCAGAGCTGGCTGCTGCTCTTGAATTCTGACATGGAGGATTCAAGTTACGAACAGCTTCACAACTTGAGCTTTTTCCTGCGTCCACGGCCATCTGCGGTTCCCTCTGACTTCCGTTTCTGGGCCTAGGTAAGAGAAGAAAATGATTAGGAAAAACTTCCCAACAGTTAGACAGGAGCTGAGCAGCAAACCCTCAATACTTATTTGTACTTTCAGAACATGCGTCAGTATCAGTACAAAGAGTTGAATTGAACTCCTGGTCAAATTTGTACTATAATTTGCTAACTTTGAAAATATTTTTTTTTGTAGAAAAACATGTTTTTATTTCACAATGTAAAATAAAATAACACAATTCGGAAACTCTCTAATCATATCAGCACTGGTATGGATAAAATTCAAACAATATCTAGCCCATGACAAATGTCTTGAATTTGAACAACTCAATTAGCATCAGTAAACAAGTTGCTTTAACACAAGATCGATTTGTAACTTACTGATCCAGACTTTGGGCCCCGTTTCTTTTTCTCAGCCTTCTCCCTCTCCTCCAGCTCCATGTTCTCTCTCTCTATCAGTGTGATCAAGGTGTTACATCGCCTCTGCAGCTCCTACACACACACACACACATCATCAAACATGATTTCAATTTTTTAAACAAGATAAAAGCAGGAGAAATGGTACAAAGAAGGCTAAATTTACCATTGCAGTCCTGGATTTGAGGAACCAGTCGAAGCGGAACTGAGGGGAGTTGCGGATGCACTGACGCAGCTCGTCGTACACGCTCTCCTTGTCGAAGCCCAGCTTGTGAAGCATACAGATAAGGAAGCGGTCCTCCTCCTCTGTGTAGTTCTTGCCTTTGTTGGTGCCATAGGAGATACGGAGCTGATGGAAGGGAGCCTTGTAGCGACCAATCTGGGGAAAGGAGATGAGAAACATATTGAGGGGCCGCTAATTAATCAGGAAGAGGAGATAATGTAATCAAGAGATAATTAAAGAATCAGAGCCAGATTTTAAGTGTTTAACACAAGGCTTAATGAGATAAAGCTTATTAGGTGGCATAAACAAGAAATGAACAGCCAAATGGCTGACAGTCAGCTACCTTTGAGTCCAGTGCTTTCTTTATGCTAATCCTTCTCTGGATCCTGGCCTCTCCTCTCTCTATCTGGGCCATGATCTTCTCGATATCCTGCAGCTCATTACAGCGCTCCCAGAATACAGCTGGAGGAACAAACACACATTAATTCACTAAATATATACGGGAGACCAACGTTTGATCTTGCCTATCGAATAGAGGAACAATAAAAACGAATCAGTACCAGAATACTCCATGACTTCCTCAGGAGTTTTCCCCTCAACCTCTCTGGCAATGTTCTCGATATCATCTCTTCCCCACTTCTCGTTGGCTTTGATGAACTGGTTGAAGTCACGTTTGTTCCAGATAGTAAATCCCTGCAATGACGGTACAGCTGATTAAAACGTGCACAATCTAGATCCATCCAACGTCTCATTCTGACTTGCTGCGTACACGCCATGAATTGATTGTATTTAGTGAGAATAATCAGTACCTGTTGCAGCAAGTTCTCCTTCTCCTCCAGCTCCTCCTCCGTGAGAGCCTCAGCCTCATCAATCTTACTCTGCTCCTCTTTCTGGAGCTGGGCCGAGTTTGGCATGTCTGGATTACGGGGTACCTGAGGAGACAGCCACATGTCGACTTATTCTAACAATTCTAAAAAGACTGACGCCAACTAAATTAGGACACATCATTTATTTCTCATTTGAAAGACATCTTTGTACCTTGTAGCCTATGGTCTTTCTGTAGAACAGAATTTCCTTTTCTAGAAGCTCAAAAAGACGTGGAGGGAAGAACTGGAAGTCCTGTACATTTGGCTGCTTTGGGGGACGAGGAGCCTGGGAAAGGGAGTCAAACAAACAAACGTTATGCCAAAAAGCAGGATAACACGTCATCCTTCATAAGAACGTTGTGATTACACATTCTGCTGCGTTTCTGTCTTACATCCTGAGGGTGATTACAGAGTGATCCGTCCCTACCTTGGGTGCTTTGGGCTCACTGACTCGCAGAGCTTCTCTGAAGTAGGCATCCACAGCGTAATTGGCTTTCCTTTCTCTCTTGGGTGGCTCGATCCAGTTGGTAATGACCTGAATGAAGAGACAAGGAGTAGAAACAAGGTAAAGATTCAAAGGTTCATGTTGTTGAAATAAGGCAATTAAAGACTGTTACTTTTTTTTTTTTTACCTTTTTCTTCTCTCTGTAATCTTCTCCTTCAAATGTGTACACACTGCTGTTCTCTGTGTCCATGGTGAAGTTTCTCAGAGAGCTCTCACCCAGTGAAGACATCTTCTCCTTCAACTCCATAGTCTAGCATTTGACAAGATCAGTGTTAATTTAAAGCACATTTTAAAAAGTAGATTCAGAATAAAGTTGTACATAGATTCATTCTGATGCATCCAGACTCACCTTCCTTTCACCTCTCTCCAGGATTTCATCAATGTCATCATCCGTGATCTCGCTCTCTTTGGAGGCAAACACGTGTGTGGCACCGTGGCGGATGATGGACAGCATCTCATCCTTGCCCAGCTTGTTAGCGCTTGGATCCACAAGTCTTCCTGTTAATCAAACAGACAATGTCCTGTTTGGATTTTCTGTAACGTACCAATTGCTTCATTGCTCTGACACTTGAATTAAGGCAACTAATGAGACAGGAAAGATGAATTACCTTGCTGGATGACAATGGAGTCCAGGCGCAGTTTCATCTCGGCCCTCTCCACAATCCTCTCCTCCACTGTGTTTTCAGTGATGAAACGAAAGACGCGTACCTGCTTCTGCTGACCAATCCTGTGAGCTCGGTCCTGAAATAAAAAGATAAAACTGGTCAAGTCCCCTCAAAGTTATACAGCACCCACGCTCATATTTAGGTATATAAACGATCAGAGCCTATAAAGCTTTACTACTGAATAAGGGACGTGCAGTTGGGTCTGAGTACTAACCATGGCTTGAAGGTCGACTTGAGGGTTCCAGTCGGAGTCGTACAGGATGACCACATCCGCTGTAGCCAGGTTGATACCCAGTCCTCCAGCCCTGGTGCTCAACATGAAGATGAACTTGGCGCTGTTGGGCTCATTGTATGCGTTGATAGAGATCTGAAAACACACAAACATGCATGATACTGATACTTAACTCTTTTTATGGTTTCCTCTCACATGACATCTTCTCACACAAGATGCAAGCAGCACACCTGTCTCTCCTCGTGCGGCGTCTGGCCATCCAGGCGACAGTAGCCGTAGTTCCTCCACATGCAGTAGTCCTCCAAGATGTCCAGCACCCTGGTCATCTGACTGAAGATGAGCACACGAGAACCTGTAAAGAAAGACGGCAGCATTAGTGAAGGAAATCTATAAAAAGTCTATAAAAAACAACACTATTTGTATTACAAATGTGTTCCCTCCATTCTGTCTGATCTGATGTGTAAAAGATTAGTCTAACACTTATGTTTGATAACAGTTGGTTTAATGACATTAACGGAGTGCTGTGCTTATTATAAGTCCTATTTTATGCCACCTCACTCTTTTACTTCGCTACATTTCAGAGGCCCATACTTTACTTTTTACTCTGCTACATTTATTTGACAGATGTAGTAACTTTCAAATTAAGAAACACCGTTTCGATTACACCAGTGGTTTCAACGCTTTTTGTCTTGTGACTCACAAAAATGATGTGTGTAATCGGAGTTGTGAGCAAATCAATGGAGTAATTCCCCTTCTAAATTGAAAGCACAACTTAGTTTCTTCTTCTTTCCTACTCCATTAATAATCTCACGACCCCCGTGTAATAGTTGAAAGTAGCTCTACCTCAGCCTGTTGTAACAATCCTATAATAATGTCATATACAATAATATGTAGTATCATTCACAGGAGACATTTCACTGCAGAACTAGTACTATTATATATCTTTACTATTTTATTTTACTGAAGCAGGGATCTGAATGAATGTATGTGGAATGGAGCATTTTAAGATTGTTGTATTGGTACTTATACTCAATAAGAAATCGGAGTACTTCTTCCACGTCTTATGGATGATAAACGCGTGCTGTTCTGTTAGACAGTATCTTAATATTCTATTCTGCAGCAGAAATACAATACCGAAAGACGACAACAATACATTCTCGTGCAATTACAGCATGGCCGTCTGCATACCCTGCTTCTTCATCTTAGGTAGGAGCTTGTCCAGCACCACCATCTTGCCACTGTTTACCACCAGGTGGAGGTCGGTTGTGTAGGGGGGACCAGGCTCGGCCCCGTCGAATAGGTACGGGTGGTTGCAGCATTTCCTCAGCTGCATGAGAACGTTCAGCAGACGCATCTTGTCCATCTTACCCGCCGAGTTCAGAATGTCAATGTCCTTCATCAGGATCTTTGTGTACCTGAAGGGTTGTGGCATTAGTTGATATTACATACAAGTGTACAGCAATTTAACATCAGTATCCAGGTTATTTCAAGCTGTGCGGAACATTTTTTTTACTGAGGATGCTTACCACTCTCGCTGCATCTTACTCAGGCCCACATACATCTTGATCTCTTTTTTTGGAAGCAGAGTCTTCTCTACGTCGGCTTTTATACGACGAAGCAAGAAGGGACGCAGAACCTACACACACACACACACAAACACACACACACACAAAGAAAAAAGCCAGGTCAAAAGAGTGCACACGCCTTAAAATGTACAGAGATTAGTTGGAAGTTGACACGAGGCACATTTAATACTTACAGTGTGAAGACGTTCCACCAACTTCTGATCACCCAAGCAGTTGTTTGTGTCAAACCAGGAATCAAAGTCCTTTTGGAGGGAAAATAATAATAATAATAATAATAATTATTAGTACCAGAATACAAATTTTCACTCTGAATAGCAGACTAGAACCACATCACTACAACTGAACACTTTCTAGTGAAACAGCCTGTTGTTCTTGTGCATTTCTAGCCGATTCTTACCTCTGCTGAGTTAAAGACATCAGGCAGCAAGAAGTTGAGCAGAGCCCACAGCTCGTGAAGGTTGTTCTGCAGGGGTGTTCCAGTCAGCAACAGACGGTTGGTGGTCTTAAATTCTCGCACAATTTCTGATAGCTGTGGGAAAGAAAAGGGCATTTTGCTTCTTTAGGAAATCTTGTAAAACCGGGTTCTGACATTTGTAAACATTTATTGCATTTCAGTGGCTGCCTGACCTTTGATTTCTCATTCTTGATCCTGTGGGCTTCGTCAATGACTAGGTATCTCCAGTTGAACTTCTTGAACACTGCCTTTTCAATGATGAGCATCTCGTAGGATGTGACACACACGTCCCATTCTCCAGGCAGCAGCACATCTCTAATCAGGGCAGTCTGAAATTGAAGCAAAAACATTTTCGTTTTGTCGTGTCAACCAGCGATACATAGATTAATTTTCAGTCTGAAGAGTATCACACAGGAAATGTGCATATAAGCACCAGCAGGAATACGTTTTGGATAGACGAATACCAAATAAACCAGAGTTATTGTTCACCGGTGGAGCTGAAGTTGGCTGTAGAGCTCCTTGCTCTTAAGTCTTGCCTCCACACATACAGAACAGTCAGTAAATGTTTTTAACACAGTTTTGCTGAGATGTACACTACATGAATCCAATGCTATAACCCACCAGGGAAAACAATCAAAGGATCTAGTGTCCACAAGAAATCAAGGCTGGAAGTTGACTAAATCTTGCATCAGTTATTTTGATTTGGGTCCATATCATTAAGCCTAAACCAGAAGCCAATTGCATCACTTTCTCTCTCTCTCTCTCTCCTGGTGTGTGTGTGTGTTGTGTGGTGTGTGTTTGAGGAGAGGAGAAGGGAGAGATGTTAGAGAGAAAAGCTTGGAGACTGTCCTTGTTGGCTTTCTGGGCTGGTGCTTAGGCTGAATCAATGGTATCGACCCAAGCATACTAAAATATAACTGATGCAATGATTTAGTCAACTTTCCAGCCTTTGATTCTCCTTATCGTGCCAACTCATCTCTGTACCTTTTAGGACTGATGCATATTTCGCCCTGGTTGGGTTATATAGCACATTGGAATTGCATTGAGTGTACATCTCATGGCAAACTGTGTTAGAAAATTTACGACTGGTTACTGTATATGTCGGTGGAGGCCAATACGTAAGAGCATAGAGGATGCATCTGTAATCAGGTCCAACTTCAGCTCACCGCGTGAACAATACACCTGCTGGAGATAGTAGCGTACGTTGGTATTCGGTCTACAATGTCATGTATCTCTAAACACTAACGCTCGTGATTTACTGGC